TCAGGCAGTTCATCTCAAACATTCAAATTTTTGAATAAAATGAATGAGTGGCAGTAATGAGCAAAATATCCAAAATTAGTTACAAATATGCGTTTTTGCATATGCATGACCCATAAATATAAGCAAACTTTTATGCTAATTTTTTATAATTTGTGATTTTTGTGAATGTTTGAATTGTTTTTGTTATATATTTATGAAAAATACAACACCAGTAAAAGGGATAATTTTTATCAATACTTCCTAATTTATTAATTATTATTATTATATCAATATTTTTCGGAATAAGGTGGTGGTTCAGCGTAAACTGCTGCCCGAAAATCCGTGTACTGTGGTGGATTAGTATCATTTCGATTGAATCCTACGTTTACTCTTGATGAACGTGTATTCACATGATCTCCTGTGCATTCATAAACAGGTGGAGAAGACGGTGGATAACTTATTGTATTCAAAGGATAGCATACAGTATCCAAATTGTGTGTGCTTTCATTTCTATAATATTTTAATGCATGTATTATCTTTAAAAAATTACCAAATGCATTATTATCATTAATCAATTCTTGTTTATATTAAATAAATTTTACACTACATAAATCAATATTTACTTTCAAAAATAGAATAGAAAAGTAAAAAATAAATACCTGGCCATATCAATAAATTGATTATATGTCCCGCGTTCTAGTAAGTATTTCAAGAAATAATACAAACAGTACAAGGATATGAAGCACGCATAAAGCGTTGCCATCAAAATTGCAATTATTAGCCAATCCATTATCATATTTCTATCTAAAAAATTGATTAACATTTTAAAAATTCAAAATCTGTTAATTAATCAAAAAGATAACTTTTGTTAGCAACTGATTATTTGTTTGTAAACGCTTTTAAATGCTAAATTTTGCAAAATTTAATTTGAATATTAAGAAAGTTTATTAAAAAAAAGAAATCGCCCTTTGAAATTGGATGAAAATTTTGAATTCGCAATTTGGTAGCCAAAATATAAGATTGATGCGTGTGATGGATTGTACAAAGAAATTATTGCAAGCAAGATTAACATGATTATTACGACTGTCTTCATACCCTGAAAGCCCAGTTCGTAATTTTGATTTGTGCATACAAAAGAAGTACTGTCCTATTTAAATGATATACCAACAAATAAGCAATAATAATATGAATAAATATGAATAATAATAATAAATGATGTTTGCAAGCGATTTTAATATCTTTTCAAGTTTGATCCATTTTTTAAACATTTTTGGTAAATTCAATTTTCATACAAATTTTCTCTTACTTAAGTGATAGTATTTGTGTCATGTTCAGTTTAATCTCCATTACTCAGAATACTAAGAAGTTACTTTAAAAAATACCAAAAATAGTGTATACGAAGCAACCATGCATAATTTTAGTTGTCGATAGCCATATAAAAATATAATATAGAAAGCGATGCTTGTAAGGAGTATGTAATAAGATGCCCAGAAACGTAGATTCAGAAGTAAGAGCACGTTCAGTAAAACGTGCAACATAAATGATACTATCACCGAGAGCAAAGCTGCATTCTAAATTTGCATACTTTATTATTCTCAAAAAAGTAACAAAATTTTATTATTGTTTTTAAGATGTATAACTATAAACAGTGTATAATAATACTCATGATTATTTAAAAAAATGAAATATGCGTTCTTCAACAACTTAACAGTAAGTATTTTGAATTTTCCTTATTAAAATTCATTTTAAAGCAATAGAAAAATGCAATTTTTATGAAATTTACGCTTGTTTGACCAAAATTAATTTCATTCTTAGTCAAAAATTTTAGAAAAAGACAAAAAATGAATTTAAAATTTGAAAATGCTAACTTTGCAATGCATAATGCACAACTTCCCTCCAATATGCCAACGTGCATCGAAGTCATTAAAATATGAAGGTGGAAGAATATTAGTAGAAATATTCTGTCGCTCAGACGCTAATATTTTCGTTATGATTAAAAAAACTTAATTAATTCAAAAATTTTATCAAAAAACTTTAATTTGCAAGATAAAAGCATTTTTGAATGTGTCAAATGTGCATAAACAGTAAACTGCTATAAATTTGAAATGAAATATTTACATACAATATTGAAATTTTATGCTTGTTAGTAAAATTTAAAAATATGCTATAACATTCTTAAACATATTTAACCATATTTTTCAATTCATCAAAGCAATTTAAATTCAGCGATGATCAAGAAGTAAGATTTTGACTACAAGTCATTAATCTAATAAAGATTAAGGTAAACAATTAATTATTGTTATCATTAAAGCGTTATCTTTAATGCAAATTTTTTTAAAATTCTAGTTATGAAAAATATTAAGTAATCCAATAATCTAGAATAAACTTTACTGACTAAAAGGTAAATTATAAGCAGTAATGAATTGCCTTATATCACAAATGTAAATTGAATTACTAAGTATGACAAAATGTTAATTTCTGTCTTACAGTGAAGTTCAAACCTTGTGATTGCCCTGAGAATGGCGAAGAATCGTGGGCTAGCATAGCTGCATGTGCAGAAGCAAGTGTCATGGCACTGAATTATTGAGCTACAAAACTACCATTTGATGGCGAATTTTGATAAGAGCTATCACTGATAAGAGAAAGCATTCACAGCAGTCGTGCTAGCATCGTGTCATTCTCGACCCTTGCATTAGCTCTCCAGACTTATATCAAAAAATTTAACTTTTGGTGCATTCCATTTTTTTGCTATAATATTTTTTAGTATTAATGTATTGATTTCATTTATAAGATTATTCTATTAATTGAATTTTTGTATTGTATTTTCTTTTCATTAATTGAATTTTTTCAATTTTATGTAAAAAATGAAAAATTTATGCATCATGAAAATAGAATATCAATGTAGTAACAATAATATAAATAATGAATAATAATTACTATCATAATTATTGCGGCTATCATAACAAAATGAGGACAAAAAATGGAATATAGCTAAACATTGACATTTACATAAAATGAATAATTAAACAAGTAAGTGAGTTATTTTTAAAAAAATTTTTTGAAGATATCATTTTACTTTGGAATGTTTTTTCATTTAAAAATAAGTTTATCATTATGATTACGATGATGATGATGATGATCATTATTATTATTATTATTATTATTATTACTATCCCAATGTTAATTATTACTCAGAATGAATGTAATAATAAACAGTAGTATTCAATTAACATTGACTTGTTGAATTACTAATTTTGAAGTTTAAAAACTGCTCAATAAAATTCTGTAATATTATTATTATTATTAGCAGCCCTGATTTATCCATTAACTATTACAAATTTAGTTAATACATTGCACCATTAATAGTAATAAACAATCAGCTTGGCACATTTGTCTTTTGAATTGCAGATTTTAAACTTTAAAAAGATTGCTAAATATTACAAAAAATGTAAATTTTTTGTCATTGTGAATAATTTTTGTACTAAATTTTTGTCTTCTCAAAAAATTATTTTGTATATTTACATAAGAACGTAATTTTTGACAGTTTTTGTGATAGCGTTTACAGAATGAAAAGAAAATACAGTCAATGTTTAGATTTTTGATTCATAAACGATAAAACGTGAATACGTTTATATGTATATGTATGTGTATATGTGCATCTGCATGTATATGTATATGTATATGTATTATGTTTATATGTATTTGTGTAAAGCATTTTAAAATGTCATTTCAATAAAATCTATTAAAATATGCCGTTTACTTTCACGTTTTTTCATCTTCAATTTTTTTCATTACATCATTGCACTGAAATTGTTGTATAAATGTATCATTCTAGAAAGAAATATATTTATTATTCGCATATAAGTATTTATTATTACATTAAACACATTCACTACACTTAAGTTTATCTTTAACTTTTTTTGTATTTATCACAAAAATGACAAATTTTCATTTTCATTTTTAACAGAGCAAATTTTTTTCAGTACAAATTCTGTTTGTATTCATTTTCTATTTTATAAAAATTGAATTTTGTACACAATTTTATTCATTTTTACGTTGGAATTATATTTTACAAACCTAAATTTACTTCTACTTGTGCAAAAATCATTTTATCTCTCATTATTATGCTCATTTTATATTAATTATTCGCTGCATCAATCGCTGTATTTTCTCATGAATGCTTGTCAATTTCTAATACTTTAACTCAGATTTGGTATAAATTACTACAAAAAGTGATTCTATTCCAATTATAGCATACTTATTGCGAATGATTTCATTCATTGCATCATTACGTATAAATTAAATGCTCTAAAATGAATTAAATTCAGTTTTAAATTAATTATTTAAATGCGTTTTGAATGTTTTTCAGTATATAACCTTTGAAAAATGTATTAAAAGAGAACAAATGTAAATAAAATGCAAAATTTTTAAGTATAATATTGATATATTTTTAGCTTTATTCGCAGTCTAAAACTTTGTTAAAGCAATACATGCAAATTAAATGCAATAATTTTTTATAATGAATATTAATATCATAAATTTTAATTAATTATTTAGATAAAAAAAATGATTATTTAAAAATTGTATTGTTCAAGATAGATTTGTTATTGGTGAAATCAGTAAGTCTGTACATGCATCCATTAATCTACTCTGATCAACACTAAAATGTATTGTATTTAAAGTAGTTCATTCATTTATCTGTTGTTTATCTGATCTCTTAAACTGAATATTAATAATCACACAAATCAATGCATAATAGTATTTATTTGAAAATTTCTGTAACTTATGTTGATAATTTTTGCAATGTTTTAGTTTTGAACAACTTTTTCTGAAATAATTTCGCCATGAATCACATCTTCAGTACTGCTTTTATTGAAAGAAATGAATCAAAGTTTCTTCTAAGAATTTTCCCTTTCAGAAATTTCTCTGATTCATTCATTTTTCTATTTGATTTACGTTAATATTTCTTTTGTAGCATAAATTTTAATAATGCTTTTATTTGTTTATTATTTAAGGAATTTTTTTTTTTGCGTGCAAATGGCACTAAAAATTTTACGCAAAATGTGCTACTTTGATAAAAAATTTTTAAAGAATTTATTTAAAAAAATTTTACAATATTTACTTCAATTTTTTTTAATAGTTAAAGTTTTATTATTTTTTAAAATGTGAGATTAAAAATAATGAGTAATTAAATTTTTGTAATTGTTATGCTTTGCTGTTAGCTATTAGCTATGATGATATTTGATTTAATTCTTATCAGAAATTGTTTACTTAATTTCATTCTTTCAGGATCTTTTTTATTCTCTGGACAAAAAATAATCATTTAATAAAAAATGTTAGTTACTTCAAGTTTTAAAGATTTTAGCAAAATACGATTATGGGAGGGTCACAGTCTCAATCTTACAATCTGAGCAACGAATCTGCGAAATCAGCTCAAGAGAAACAGGATATCGTTCCAAGTAATGATATAATGAACGGAACGTTGGTCCATGTTGACTCTTCTAATTCTCAGAATCTTTCTTCAATGGCACAGGTAAGTTTGATTTGCTTTAATATTATACTTTACAAAATTTTAAAATTTGCATTATTAATCAAACCATCAAAAAATTACACTCTAAGCTTAAAAGTAGTCCAAAATTTGCTGATTACTTTTTGTTTCAAAGAGATGAACTGAAAAGTTAGAAAAACTTGTCACATTTATTTCTTCAAATATTTTTCTTCAAGAACTGTAACTATTAACTGGTGTATATAGAGAGTAAGTAATCTAAAAATTTTGAAAAGATAAACTTTTGAGCATAATAATAATTTTTCAAGTGCGTATCTTTTCTGAGTAATCTATTACATTTATGAGATTTAATAAAATAATATTTTGCATAAATATTTGAAGCAATTAAAGAATAATAAAAGTGATTATAATAATAAAAGATGAAGAATTCAAATAGCGCACATATAATTTTTGTATTACAAAAAATCATTCTAGCAGTTAGAACGAATACATCCACCCGAAGATATCCCACTACAAAAATTTCCTGAAGCAGTAGTGACTACAACGACAACTCTTGTGGAATAATCTTTCTGTACAATGCAAATCATTACGAAGTCATTGGCAGAATATTTCTTCTATGAAATTATTTACTATCTTTATTTATACTTATTAAAAATATATATTTTAGCTATAAAATGATATTATGTTGAACGAAAATTCTTCACAAGCAAATATCAGTAAAATTTTATTGAACGAAACTTTTATCACTTCACTGATGTCACTGTCAATATGAGTTGTGCTTTAACTTTTATCATATCACTCATCAATTTATGTCTATAACTTTGCAATTTTATAATGAAATTTGCTGATTTTTACTTCATAAAAGTCAATAAAAGATGCACTTCAGTCACAAGTCAGATCAAGTCAGGTCAGTTCAGTCACAAGTTCAGTCAAGTCACTTCAGTCAGATGCACAAGTACACAAAACAGAAATCAGAATTAAACTAATCCATCAAGTTGAGCTTTATTGTCTTTTCTATAATCTATTATGCAAATATTTGAAAATTGTTTTTACTAGTCGAAATATTGCACAAATTTTCACAAATTATTCTTTGAATAGTTTAATTTCAACTAATTTGAATTACTTTTTGATTTATTTATTTTGGATAAATGACATAGCAAAAATTTATTCCAATTTTATGACTACTTGCAAATATTTTAGTTGCATTTAAGAGCTTACTTCTTTATATTATTTGTGTAGTATTGATGTAACTTTGCACACTTCGAATTCAAAATCACTGCCATAAGTTTAAAAATGACATCAGTAATATAAATTATTAACAAAAGCAGCAAAGTGATTACTGAGTGAAATTGCACTGCATGAAGTAAATAAGTTTATTAGTATTATAACAAATACTTTCTAGGTTATTTAAAAAAACCCGTCAGCACTTTTCGCACAACACATTTTTATTCCTCACAAAATGTGCTAATAATAATAATAACAATAAAGAAGGTGCAGCAGGTCGAAGGTTAATCTTCTGCTTCTTGATTCCCGCGTTGAATGGTGTTCCTAAATTCTCGCTGAACTCGACAGGCACGCAATTCTGCTAGTTCCAGCGTGCTGGTAGAATGGTTTCCCATATTCCTCATGGAGCTTTTTTAAACAATCTCACATGCTCTCCATTTGTTTTCATTTATGGTTCCAGGCTCGGTTTTTTTGCGCTTATCCTCCATTTTCTGCTTTATGATGCGATTGCACTAGTTTGCCATTCAACCGCTAGACAACTCGGCAGGGCCGAGCAATATAACAGTAATAAT